AATAATTTAACCATCATTAAAAACAATTATAACTAAAATTATAGCAAAAAATATGACAAAAGAAGTTCTTGGTTTATGAGACTGAAAATGATTACCTGTGCCTTTTGTCAGAAGAAATTACACACACTAAAGGGTTATGTATTACACTGTAAAGTGCACAGAAACGAGCCTCGCTGTGTATTTAAATGTGTTGGGGATAAATGTTGTCGAACATTTACTACTTACTCTGGATTTAAGGGGCATTTTTATCGCAATCACAGTACAGCCGCACCCCATGCGGCCGCTTTGGCTATTGTATCTGATTTAAAATGTGCAGTTGCACTTTTTATCGTTAAAGAAGCTAACCATATTCTTTCAGTGTCATTGGTGGTTTGAATATTTCAGAACCCACAAATGAAGCTATACCGACAGCTTCCAAAACCATTGATTTACCAGAGATCGATAGCGAGTCCTATCTCAAAAATGTGAGTCTCTTTTACCTAAAACTGCAAGGGCAACTTCTTGTTCCGGCCAGTACTGTACAGACTATTGTGGAGGAAATGCAAAATGTGCATGAGTTAGGGCTGAACCACACAATTGCCAAAGTAACATCCTTGTTAAAAAATGACATGAGGCTTGCAGATGATGTTATACTTAAAATCAGTGACTGCATAAAAGAATCAGATCTGTTCTTAGCGTGTCATCAGGGACCTCTGAGAACAACATACTCAAGAGGGCAGACTTTCACTGAAATGTTTAAGTACACTGAACCCCAAAAAGTGTCATTGGGATTTGATGAACACATGATTCAAAAATATGCTTACTATATACCAGTGGCAAAAACGTTGAAAAGCCTTTTACAGTCAGATTTATGGACAAACTCTACCATGTCACCAGAGCCAGGAGAGGCAAACACTGACTTTTTTACAGATATATGTGATGGACAAAATGTCAAACGCAACCAGTTCTTTACCAACAACCCGAAATGCCTCAAACTAGTTTTATACCAAGATGCGTTTGAAATAGTAAATCCCTTGGGGTCTGCAAAAAAAACGCACAAGATTCTTGCAGTGTGTCTGTAGCAAATTTTACCTATCCATGTACGTTCAAACACTGATCACATGTTTCTCGTCTTGTTGTGCCTTGAGAATGATTTTAAGCGGTTTGGAATATCCAAAGTGTTCTCAGAGTTGATGGAAGATCTGAAATCTTTAGAGACAGAAGGAATAACAGTTGATGGGGAATCATTGAAAGGAGCTCTGTACTGCATTGCTGGTGATAACTTGGGCTCTCATGGTATTGGCGGATTTACTGAGAATTTCAGCCGCTCCCATTACTTTTGCAGGTACTGTGAGGTTAAAAGAACAGAGTTTGTGGCAGATCCAAATGCCTGTGGACGAGTGCGTACTCCAGAGACTTACGACTCAGCAATTGCTGAGCTTCAGGCTGAAAACGCTCCAGACATCAGGGGTATAAAGATAAACTCTGTATTTAATTCACTTGAATCTTTTCATGTTGCCCAGCCTGGCCTGCCGCCTTGTTTGGGTCATGACTTGTTCGAAGGGGTCTTGTCCTATGATCTTGCTCTGTACCTCAAGTACATGGTAAAAAAGAAAAAATGGTTCACTTATACTATCTTAAAGAGGCGCATTAAACAGTTCAAGTACAAAGGATCTGATGCCCTCACCAAGCCATGTGCTGTCAATCCAGATGCGTCCAGGCTTTCAGGCCAGGCCATTCAAAATTGGAATTTACTGAGGTTGCTACCTGTATTAGTTGGTGATAAAGTGCAAAATCCAGATGATGAAGTTTGGCAGTTGGCGCTCCAATTGAAGGACATTGTAGATCTGACCTGTGCTCAAAAGATTTCTTTGTCCCAGATAGCATATCTTGAGATTTTGATCCAAGAGTATTTGGAATCAAGAAAGTTGTTGTTTCCAGAGGTTCAACTCAAACCTAAACACCACTTTTTGCGGCATTATCCAGCACTTTTCCTGAAATTTGGTCCATTGATAAGATTGTGGACGATGCGCTTCGAAAGCAAACACAGCTATTTTAAAAGGTGTGCCAGAAACTTAAAGAACTTCAAAAACATTTGTCAGACATTAGCTGAACGTCATCAGATGTATCAGGCATACCTTTTAGCTGGGCATGGATGCAGTCAAATACTGCAAATGAAAGACAGCTCTGTGTTTTATCCTAGCCTTTACGCAGATGCTATTAAAGATGCTGTGAAGGAATTTCACTTTTCTAATGAGAATACCACTGTTTCTACAGATGTACAATACAAAGGCACTACGTATAAAAAAGGACAATTTCTTGTTTACAGAAATGAGGAGCATATGGAGTTTGGAGAACTTCTCCTGATCCTTATACACAATGACACAGCGGTGTATTTTTTGATGGATATCCGAAAAGGCAACTTTCACTCGGAGTACCATCTGTATTCTGTGACAAAAGACGGTGTTGGGCTAAAGTGTGTTGACGCTAATGACCTGGCAGACTTCTATCCTTTGGTATCATACATTCTAGCTGGGCATCAAGTCATTCCACTGAAACACAGCATTATGGAACAAACGTGAATAGTCCATTTGAAGCAATCAAATCAAATTTATCTTTTCATCTTAAAACCACATCTGGGTTAAATTCATTTTCAGTTTCATTTATTATAATTCTCTTGCATTAAAGCTGCTGTAAAAATGTTTTGCCTGCAATGTTACCCTTCTCCATGCTTTTTTTTCTTTCCAAATTGTAGGCATAACTAACCTTCAATGCAAGAATGATGGACTCGGAGCAAACATTCTTAAAAGATGCCATAGGAGAAGTCCTACCTGACCTACCAACAGCATCTAAAGACATCCTCGAAGAGCACTTGCAGTCAATTGGAGTACAGTGCTATGATGACTTTCAGTTTGTAGAAGAGTCTGATTTGCTGACTGCTCTGAGACCTGTACAAGCTCGAAAGCTACTTGCTGCTTGGAAACTGAAATGTAAGTTGAATACTAGACTTGTACTGTATGCATATTAAGGCCAGACATGGGCATAAATAGGCCTGTCACGATAACAAATTTTGCTGGACGATTAATTGTCTCAGAAATTATTGCGATAAGCGATTATATTGTCGTTCTGAGATCATTTGCATCGATTACAATGATAATGCAGGTACACTTTTTCAAAGAGAAATAAACTTTTATTTTTAACAAATATTTAACGCTAGAACACAATAAATTAACAAACAACCAAAAACAATAAATAAAATACTCAGTCTCTTAACAAAAAATGACCAGGAATAAAACTGCCAGGACCTTTGTAAAGAAAATATGAAACAGATGCCTCAAATGTCAATAATTTCTCAGACTTTATGGCAGATTACGAGAAAGAAATGCCAACATGTTGACTTTGTGTGACTTAAGACAAGATCTCTCAGGAGTAGTCCCACCTCCCCACACACCAGGCGAATGACAAGTGACTGACATGTACAGAAGTCCTGCTGCGGTAGCGCCCACCGGAAGTAGCGGGGCGGGCTTTGATGCTAACAGCTAAGCTAGCGGGTTTTTTGTGTAAAGTTCTACTCCAAGAATGCAAGTCTGCAGCATCTCTGTGTTCAGAGACCTTCTAGAGACTTTATATAACAGCAGTATGTGTTCACGGAGGTGCGCCATAAGTTTATTTTATTGGTACGGTACGGTACTTCTGCATCGGCGAACACGCTAACGCTATCTGCGCTAGTATAGTCACTAATCAAGCCTGAATGAGAACTCAGCTGCCAGCATATGTTCACAACTACTGTGTCCCCCATTGTCAATCCTGGTTAAGTCCTGGTTTAGGTCCTGTTTTGGCTGTATTTTGTATTTTTGAGTAATTTCCGTCTGCTTGCTAGACCGCTAATGTTCCCGTGACCACTTTGCGGCTCTCTGACCCGAGAGAGACGGGGTAAACAAACAAGCAAATGGGATTTATCGCGGCCAGAAAAGTTATTGAGCAAATTTTATTTATCGTGCGATTAATTGATTTATTGACTATCGCGACAGGCCTAGGCATAAATGCTTTTTATTAGTGTTAATTTTTTTTACTAATAATTATGCCCTAAATGATTTGCAGGTCAGACTCCAGAGAACAGCTCTCAATCCTCAATTGCAGCCTCACCCTCACCATCACCTTCACCATCCCCATCATTGTCATTGCTCTCTGTGTCACCCCGAAGTTCCTCATCTACCTCTTCTAGCAGCCCAAGATCTGCTGCACAGTGGATGGACAACTTTGAAATTCCATGGAGTAAATTTCCGGAGGAACTTATGCAGTGCCTCGAGAGGGGAAAGAGACCAAGCCCTCGCCTAAGAAAGGAGATGGTCCGCATTGTTGTTCGAGAGATGACTACCAAATGCTCCCGGGTAGGAAAGAAACATTCAATCGAGGTCGGGAAAAAAATGGTTGCTAAATATCCTCTTTCACTGCAAGATGTTATCGAAGGAGACATTGTTGGAACTGGCTATGATTCTGTGGTAAAGCAACTTCAAAACAGAGTTGATAATGTGAAGCGAAATTCGACACCTGTTATTAGAAAACGGAAACATCAAACTGACGACTCTGATACAGATGAGGTCCCACTAGAAAAGAGAGCAGCCGTGCGAGACACCTATGGATGCATTAAATGGGATGTGAAATTTCTGCCTCTTGGAGAAACCCCAGAGAGCCAGCAGGAAAAAAAAGAGAAGCTCAAGTCAATGTCTCAACATTCTGATGGTGATTCAGAAGAAGTCAGACAATTAATGAAGTCAACTTTTTACACACAGAGAAAAGATATAAACCAAGGCAAAAGTATCAAACATCTCAAAGAGGAGTGGCCATTTTGTTTTAATGAATTTGGAATGACGGTCCACTTCAAAGAGCTCACTGGCATTAGTCTCAAAGAGAATTTCATTCGAAACTTGGATCTGAAGGGAAAGCGCCTCCTTAACTACATGACTTCAGTCTGTGTTAACAAGAGCAAGACATTTTTTCAGACTTACACAAGACTTCAGATGATCCGAGGAGAGCAGAGTGGCGCTTCAGAAGACCTAAAGGAGATGGTCCTCCTTCTGCTCTGTTATTTTGATGAGAAGGAGTCGTCCATGTTCTTCTATGTGGAGGACACATGCCTGGCAGAAGAGGTCCAGCTGGAGGAGGTGCCTCTGACGCCAACTGTGATTGTGTGTGGTAAGTTTACAGGATATAGATCAAATGTGTCAATTTCATTGAAGAAGGGGCCGTGTGGCTGCAGGTTTTCCATCCAACCAAGCAGAAGCATAGCTGACTCCACCCATTTCCTTATCTTCAGGTTTTAAAAATACAAACAAAAACATATACCTCGCACAACATTGAAATTTATAGTAAGCATAATTCTAATTTGAATGCAAACCACATTTAGTCGGGAATAAACAGGGAAAGGGGATAAAACGAAAGAGGAAATGGGCCATGCATGGATACTCGTCGTTGTGTCCTTGGCAAGACACTAACCTCTGGGAACACCAGCCACAGTGGGGCGGCTGCGGCTGTAAAGTGCCGAACTGCCGTTGTGTCCTTAGGCAAGACACTTCACCCCCATTGCCTAGAATGAGTCTGGTGTGTGCGTGTTTGTGTGAATGGTTGGTGGTGATCGGAGGGGGCAATGGCACAGACTGGTTGCCTCGCTTCTGTCAGTGTGTCCCAGGGCAGCTGTGGGCACAGTTAATCACCACTGTGTATGGAGTTAAAGAATAATGACACATGTAAATCGTCCTTGAGTGTCCAAAAAAGCGCTGTGTAAAACTGATGCATATTTTTATTATTATTATTGAATAAAAGGAAAAAATAATCTTTAGGTTAAGACTGAACTCACTTGAGGAAATGGGTGGAGTCTGCTCTTCTGCTTGGTTGGAAGAAAAACTTGAAGCCGCACGGCCCTTTCTGGAATGTGACTATACAATAATGGCTATGTAAATTCTTCATAGGACGGTCCTGCTATTCTGCCAGGAGATACATGCTGTGTTTGGACAAGACAATCGTCCACCCCAACATCTCCTCCTTCATTTCTGTGCTGTGCATGATGTTTGGAAGCTATTATCTCTTCAACATCCACTATCCAATGGCGCTGGCTTCAAGTCTTGAGTTCCTTCAAAGGTGAGTATGCACCGTAAAAGGAACATGCCACCGTTTTTCCATACTGAGATACAGTATGTCACAATGTCCACGTCTCATCTTAAAATGCTTATAGGACAATCACACTTTTCTCCGCAAATATCAGGGCTAAAAAGTGGCAAAGACGTGAAAATCTCCTCGAAAGAGGACATCTCACTAACTTCCGCTGCAGAAGGCTGCCTCCAGCAGAAATGTGAGCAAAAGCCTGAGCAGCGGCAAAGAACACTAGAGAGTGCAGGAGGCACACGTGCACAGAAGCGACAGATGAACACTTTCTACAGCATCAGCAGAGAACAGGAGCAACATGAAACTATTAACTGCTGTCATGATTATTAGTTTTTAGAACCTGCTCTTTCACTCTCTTGTGATTAACTGTGATTGAGGGGGCGGATCGTCCCGGAAAAAATCCCTGATTGCCCCCGCCTTTTTTGCGTTGTCCCCGGTATGACGGGACTATGTTAATCTCGAGCCCTGCATTGCTGCTCTAGTGGGACCTCATCTGTATCAGAGTCGTGAGTTTAATGTTCTAGTTTTCTAATAACAGGTGTTCTGCTTTTTTCCAGATGTTTTTTCTCAATCAACCCTGAGAGAGGAACTAAAGTGGAGAAGAATCCCAGACGTCTCACAGTGAATCCTCGAGTCCTCACTTTGATTCAAGAACTCTCAGATCACGAATGGCGTGACTCCTGAACTGGACTGAACAAAATCTAAGCTGTGACCACTTGTTCAAAGAAGTTGTAAGTTTTGATGCAGAAAACATAGGTTTTTTAAGAAAGTTGTTGATTTCTGTGTTTTTACTTCAAATTTAAAGGTTGCTTTTTGCATTAGTATCCAGCACTGTTTTTTGAATTTGTCCATTAAAAAAGACTGGAGGATTTATTCTGCATGTTCTGCAGCTATTTTATAAGATGTACAAGACACTTTAAAAACTTCACTTTGAAAACTTCTTGGTTCAGACTTATGGTTGAGAAAAAAGGATGGTATACCACCATTTTCTATTGAAGTTGTTATCCACACTCTTCTGAAATTCTTTTTGATCATTGGTTTAGGTTAGACATTGCTGGTGAAGGCATAGTTTTGATATTCTATTTTTTTTACAGAAGTATTCACCAATAATGGGATTATTAAATACCTCCTAAATCCCCTCTGAACAAATCTAACAAGTCAGATTTATAGCAAAGGAAGGTTTCTCACCCATCATCTGTACTTCTTAGCAAGTTTTCCCAACGTTTCGTCCTCAACCTGGGGACTTCTTCCCTGAAGAAGTCCCCAGGTTGAGGACGAAACGTTGGGAAAACTTGCTAAGAAGTACAGATGATGGGTGAGAAACCTTCCTTTGCTTTGACTAATCCCTGTACGACTGAGGGCTTACACAAACTTAAGTCAGATTTATGGTTGCATTTTTTTGATTGTCTTATTTAGATTTTGTTACTGAAAATGTCAGCCATTATGGGTATTTTTGCATTTTATCTTTATAAGAAACATACAATAACCAAAAAATAACAATACATATTTATTGATAATACAAAGGTAAAGTAATATTGCTGAATTTACTTTCCTTTTATCTTAAAAGACCCCTGGAAATGTCTCACCTTTAAACAGTTCAAATGTAAGCATAGTTGTGCTTTGTTGCTTGTTTGATCCCATTAATACATCATACTGGTACAGTTTGATAATTTAAAAAAGCCATTATAGAGTATGTACATACAATGTGTACAACTGTTCAAAATGTTAATAAATCATTTAAATACATTTTGATCTGTCATCTTTGAATATGTGAAAATACAAAATGATTTTCCATATTTTGTTTACAGGCATGAGTAAACTTTGGTACAGGTGAAAGGCTCTTTAATGTAGGATTTAAGTCTTGGAATAGGCTTTTTTGAAATAAGTTATTACATATAAACATTCATGTATGTAATAATATATATGAACATTACAGTGCAATGCTTATTCATTTGCAAGTTTACTTTGTGGAGTCTTTGTCATAAAAACATGAATATACAATAATTTTATCACAAGTTTATAATATACAGAATTAAATATTTTAAATCACCAGCTTTTGCTGTGACTTTTACAGACAACATTTGTGTTTTTGTTGAATAATAATCTGTAAAATTTAACATTTTTTCATGCACATCAAACCTTGAATACAAGTGAAACGTACTGAAAAAAGTTGCTTTTAATACAAGACTATTATGGTTATATTTTCATAAAAGTTTCGTAGACTTTACTTTTTTAATGTGATTTTATCTGTAAGTTAAAATACTGTAAATTGATTTACAGTTCCCTCCTGTAAATTGATTTACAGTACAGCTGTATTTTTTACAGAAATGTTCTGGTAACCCCAGCTGCCAGATTTTTTCTGTAAAAACAACAGATTTTTTTTTACAGTGTAGCTTATGTGTGTTTTAGTAGTTCCATGGTCATTTCCTGAAGTCAAGATTGGTCTATCATGGCTTTTTAGACCACCACCACAACACACCACACCCTCTATTCTTACATTGATCTTTATCTTATCTTCATTTTCCGATTGAAAAAAAAAAACTACTGATTGCTAACTTAATCAGTGCTATAGAGTCCTTGCATACGGAATTGTCTTATGGCTGAGGTGAGCGGGTCGTGTTGTCTGCGATCGTTACTTGCTTACAGGTAAAAGAGGAGGGGAGACAGAGCACAGCCTTGTAGAGTTTGTGCTTCTCTCTTTTTAAAATACATTGTTTATATTTTACTGCTCGATTTTCTCTTCCACACTCATACACCTGAGCTTTGGGTATCAGTTGATAGGACAAGACCACAGATAAAAGTCGTCAAATGAGTTTCCTCGGCAAAGTGGCTGGGCCCTTTCTCAGAGATAGAGTGAGTTCAGCTCAGTCATACGGGAGGAGCTCAATTTTCAGCCATTGCTCCTCCACATACCTCCGGGAATGTACCATCAAAAGGAGGCTCAGGTGATCACTCAGGGACTATGGCGGTCACCTTGATTCCCCTGGATGAGCTGAAAGTCGACATATCAGACTGCTGCTATAGTTTAAGAAATACCATTCAAAATACTGCAAGCTGCTCATGTATTTGTCTAACATTTCTCTGACATTAGCGCCATTTATTCCTTTGCATTGTAATCATTTCTGAAACCCACTATAACCCATACAACTGTATGTGGCAACTGTGACAAATTAACAACAGAAGAAACATATTTTACCCTGGTCTGGTCCCAAGACTCTGCATTGGCCCTCTCTCTCCCCCATTGTACACAGCAGACCTCTGTGGCCATGGGATTATAATAATAACTACCTTATTCTTTTAGGAAACATTCTTAAACCCATTGAACCTTCTTCCTGGGGATGTAATATTTAAAACAGGTCCATATTTAGCCACAAGATTGCATTGTACAATCATCAACATTATCCACAACGTACCATTTTGTGTTTTCGGGTATTTATTGTTTGTTTGGTACAAATGATAAAGCGATTACTCTTTCTCTGCAATCTCCGCCAAACTCCAGTGGCAATTTGCAGTGTTTAGCCCTTTGCGAGTAGATTGATTGCAGGCTTCTCCTGTTTACTGTTGTGGAGTCCATTCCAATGTTATTAACAGAACCGTCAAGACTCTAACCAGAAAGCCATTTTTTCCTCTCTTTCCTCCGCATCAGCAGCAGACCAACTCCAACTTTCCCCCATTCACTGAAAGCACAAAGTGGTTAAGAAAATATAATCCAAGATTTAAAGTGGGTTGGCAGCCTTTGACCACTTTGGTACAGAAATGACGTTTACTATCCGCTGTCAAGTTCAGACAGAGTCAATCTTGCATTTTTGTCTTTTTCTTTTCAAGCTCACAATGTATATTTAATATGGATGTGTATTATTTATTAATTTATAGTAACATTCCATCAGATGCCACAATACATACTACATCAACAGTGAGAAGTAGTCGCGAAGGGGCATAATAATCATAGGGCGTGCATTTTTAGCGGTAAGATTCTACCTCCATCCATCTGTTTTCTTCCCTTGCCGTCTGACAGCAGTCTATGCCGAGACGCCCAGACTTCCTTCTCCACACACATTTCCTCCAGCTCATTCGGGGGAATCCCGAGTTCTTCACCCGACCTCCTCCCGATGGGGAATGCCCATTTATCTATAATAATAACTGGATAGGGTATTACTAGCTTTTTGCTGTCCCACTTATCGGCATGGGGAGCACCCACGGTACTGCAGATTATATTTACGCGGGCTACCCAGGCCCACAGAACTCAATGTAAACTAAATCAGCTTGACCTCAGCTTTCAGAAAGGTTTGGCTCCTGCACTGACTCCGCCCTAACTCCGCTGTAGCGCCACTCTGATCACCAGCAGCTGATTGGTCAGAACGATGCCATGATCCTCTGTGCACGTGCAAAAAAAGAACTTGAACGTGAATTAGTTCATTTTGTGTGTCATGAACGGCAGACATCACTATGAACGTTGGAATCTGTTTTCTCTTTTGAAACGCAACGAGAGAAAGTTCCTCCCTCCTGTATTCTCGCACTTTTTCCGCCGAAATCTAAAAATTCCTACGGTTTCCACCATCTGTGAACGCACCCTGACTCCTTGACATAAAGTATAGACACACGCACTGCAGTGCATTACTGTCTGTAGTTTATGAGCAGAGATGGGACCACTCCGTTTTGCTCCCATTGAAAACCATGTAAATCTGGTCTGTTTTGTAGTCAAAAGGCTCTCCTCCTGTGGGTGTACAGGAGAGATATATATATATATATATATTTATAGCTTGTAGTGTGAAAAAAATATGTATTTAAGTATCTCACGAAAAAGTAAAATGAACTGAACTTTGAACTAGTTCAGAATTAAAATTGTGAACTTTGAACGTGAACTGTTCACTTTGAGCATGTATGAACTGAACTTGAACTAGTTCAGAAAAGCTGTGAACTGGCACAACACTGGGGCCACAAATGCATATTTAGAGAAAAGCATCATGGGAGCTGATCCATTGCGCAGAACCGGGAGGACCAGAGGATTCCCAAATATAAGCAAGTTCCGCTAATCTTTTGGTGCCCATAGAGGTCCCATGCGTAATTGAGCACAAGCCATTGATTTGAATAGGCTGCCATCTTGGATCACCGGGTGCTCGGGCATGCCTGAAACATTATCCCACGGAGACATCCAGAAGGCATACAGATGCTCGGGTCACCTCAACTGGCTTCTCGCAATGTGGAGATGCAGCGGCTCTACTCCGAGCTTCTCCCATTCGGCCAATCACGCATCGCTGCCAACATATGCCAATTCGGGCGTTCTGCTCTCCCAAAATTCCATCCGATGGGCGGGGGAGCGACTGAATTTTGCGTTGCATTATGGGTAACAGTTGCCTTCGCAACTTCCGGTTCTCTCTGCCCGGCGCATTTTCTCCTTGAGTTGGTTGAGTGTTTTCGTCATGGGCTTCAAGTGTGCCGCCGCTAATTGTAATTCTAACAGCAATAAAAAACTGAGTCGGTATCCGTGGATGTCAAGCGTGCGGTGGGTCAAGTGGCCGAAAAACCCCAGAGACATCAGCAGGTGGAAGCGCCTCGTAAGGAGGGGTGGAAGGGACTCTACTGGCTACGTAGATGTTTTTAATGTTAACAGATTAACCCGCTTGTGTTCAAGACATTTTGATCAGGACTCCATTAGAGCTGATAAAACGTCAACCTCTGATCCA